GGCGTGGCATGTCTTCTGTTGACATGTTGCCAGATTTGAAACGGGAAAACCACTCGTAGACCTGTGATTTCCCCAAAGCATCATCATTAAAGGCTTGCCGAAGCATCCCAACAGTCTCGGCTGCAGTTTTCCCTAACAGAAATCAAAATTTCACGCACACTCTTTGTTCCTTCTGGTTGGCCATCTCACTAATCGCCAAAGGGTTGAAACAGGAATGCACACAACAGAGCACCACAGACAAACCACTTAACTCAGACTGACGCCAGCTCACTAACAGTCGCGGGAGACCCCCAGCTAACACAACCTAGCAGCACCACTCGTATCTACAAAGCATGCATGGGCAACAGGTCGGTTCCGGTTATTTTTGGGTCCCCTTCGTATATATATATTTTCTGTTTCAGTTTAATTTACACACAGGTGGTAGGACCACTTGGTTTTGGGGGATCAGTGCATCACAAGGCCACTACCTAAACATAGAATAAACACACACAGACAGCCATGCGTCAGGCGTGATTCAAGCCAACAGTCCCAGTGTTTGAGCAGGTGAAGACAGTTCAATCCTTAGACAATGTGGCCTGTAAAAGGCCTGCGTAGTCTAGGGGTAACGTTCCCACCTCATGACTCAAGGTACGTGGGTTCAAACCCAGCAGAGGTCGCGGAATTTTTAAGGGCAGAAAAATTCAGGGAACAAGTCCTCCGGGAGGGACTTTAAGCCGTGGGTCCCTTGTTGTAGATTTACGGCATGTAAAAGTTCCTCATGTCTCTAGGAGACCTCTGAGCAAAATTAGGCAACAAGTTTCCCGCCCAAGTAGTTTCGAATGCCTCTGGTAGATGGGGGAAATATCAGGTACCGAGGGCCGACCTCGTTGGCTGAACGGGGCTGATAGCACACACCAGCACCGGTTGGGTATGGGGACAGTAGAAATTAAACNCTTCATTCCACCAAATTCTCCATCATCATAATCACCCGGGGTGGGCTACAATAGGCCAATCAGTGGCTGCCGTGCCGAGTGGACCCAGTTGGACTCCACCCCCCACTAAGCGAATTTTAATTTTTTAGACAATGTGGCCACTGTAATCAGCATCATAGAATTTACCTGATAGAAATGCCAATGCCGCTTAACGAGTAAATCTAGATGAACAGAGAAACCTACAGTACATCTTTGGATTACATTTAAATGACTACAGTCTGCTTTTACCGGTTCTCACGGTCTCTTCGCTTGCAGATTTCTTATATTTTTTCTTCTACCCTGAAGATGGAGGCGATACGTTCCTCCGAAACGCCGGTTAACACCACATATACACGGTGCCAAATCCCAGAAGACTGCTTTCTTCATAGTCACCGCCGTGAAAGCCTCAAATCTTACAGATGTAGATAGTTTGAAAGTCTGTCATTTCTTCTCTCAGTATTTGACACTTAATGCCATCAACTGACAGAAGTTCTGTAATAAGTGGTTAACATCATGCCATTATCTTCAGCTGTAACAGTTTTAACTCAGGTGCACCAAGCTGATCCAAGTAGCTCATGGCGTGCAAAGGGTTAAAATTGCATGAATGAAGTGCAATACTGTTGTTGCACAACTGTTTGGAATTTCTTTTCTCTTAAAAAGATATGATTTTAGCTTTCTTCAAAATTTGCAGTATTCTTTGCCTGAAACATCTTTGCGGATGTATTGTTACCAGATAATGATACAGATCATTATATCATCATTTTAAGCATATGATGGATACAAAAATCGTCATACTGGAGATCTTGTTCAACACAGTACTTTTCTGTAAGGCTGGCTACTCAGAGTATGAAGTACCCTCAGAGATATTTTAGACTGATTGTAATGGTGTTTTTACTACATTGTTTTGTAAAAGAACTCTTATATTTATTTCAAACTATATTTTGTATGCAGCTCAACAACAGGAGCTTGAAGACTTGATTCGGATGCAGGGTCACATGATCGCAATGGAGGCACCTTTGTATCAATCTTACCGTGTCTACATCATTAACAAAGTGAGAGCAAAAGCAGAAATACACTTAGGTAAGCTATTATATGTGTAATGATAAGAGCTCAGATCAAGTTGTACTGAGATTTTTGTCACAACAGTGTAAGTTATGCAGTGCAAACACTGTAATACTATCCTCATTAAACTTTTAGGCATCTCAAGTAAAATGCATGAGAGGTGGCCCATTGGAGATTTAGATTTTCAAATACTGGTAAATACTGTGGCATGTAGACCCATTGCTAGGCAACATTCGTGAAATAAGCAGCTATACAACAGCTGTTGCCAAGTAATGGCTCTGTAAGCAATGCCCATTGCTAGGTAATGGCCACAATTGACACGCATGTAACAATAGAAGAGCTGTTGGAAGCAGTGTTCTCTGTGCAGCCCCTGCCAAGGCTGCCTTCAGAGGCCGGTCTTGAGAGGGCAGTGGGAAGAGTAACAGTTCTGAGACAGTCACCAGCCAGTAAGGACGTTGTTGGGATCCTTCACCAGGCAATGACTGGTGAAGACATAGATTGAGAAGACTTTATGTGTATTGTAATTACAGCAATCTTTGGAGTGTGTGACTCAGTGAGACCATCATTTGTAGTTATGTACTGTAAATGTTCAGTAAATCCAGTTACCAATCCAAACCCCATCTACTCGTATAATCACTCCATAAAGTTGTTACTGCTTGTGTCAAATGTGGGACTGGATCGATCGATTGTTAGATTGAAGATTGCATTGTGTAGTTATATTGCCACACTACAAATATGGAACTACTACTATTACACAGAGATATTGGGTTTTCGGACTTCATCCATTGTCCTGGTTTTTAAGATAACTAAGAAAAACACGACGTTTTGGAAACTGTATCTGTTTCTGCCCTCAGGTGAGGGAAAACACCTACTCTGTTGGGTCCCTTAGAAAGGGCCAGCCTCTTCACCTGAGGGTGGAAACAGACCCAGTTTCCGAAATGTCGTGTTTTTCTTAGTTATCTTAAAAACCAAGGTGATGTATAAAGTCTGATGTCTTCTCTTGACTCAAATCGGGTTCCTTTCAGCTGCATTTTAAGCTTGGGAAATAGCCAGATGTCACATGGAGCCATGTCGGGGGAGTAGGGAGCCTGACGAACCACAGGGATGTTGTGTTTGGCGACGAAAGTCTGAATCGGATGCGCAGTTTCAGTACGAATTTCGCGGACACTCTCCTCATGCCCAAATCCTCGGTCAAAATTGAATGTACTGATCCAATGCTTACCCCTATCTCGTTCGCAAGTTCTTGGACTGTGATACGACGATCCTCCATGACCAAAGTCCGCACTTGCTCAATGACATTCTCATTTCAGCTTGTTGAGGGTCTGCCTGAATGCGGTTCGCTGTCCACTGATGTGTGGCCATCTTTGAAGCGGTTGTACCACTCCTTTATCTGTGAGTTGCTCATGGCATCGTCCCCGAAAGCCTGTTGAATCTTGCGAATGGTTTCCACTTGGGTATTGCCAAGCTTTTGGCAAAATCTGATGCAATATCACTGGTCATGTTGTTCCGTCATTTTACACCTTACTGGAATCCGACGAGTGCTCACTACATATCCTCACTCATAGGCTGACTGCCAGTGACTGACGCTTTCTGCGAGTGTGAAAAAATTCATGACTGCGCATGAATGTTGCCTCCACATCTCCACCGAAGGGAGCCTTCTACGCTTCATTGGTTTACGCGGGAAAAAAGAAGGTTCGGTACTTTTTGAACACACCACATATAGGATGAAGTCAATTTGTTAGCAGCACAACAGAGATATGAATGAGGAGCAAGAAAATCCTTGGAAAAGAGTCAATATTTGCCCAGTGCAAACCTCCCTCCACGTTGCAGGAACTGGGTGTATTGTGCAGTTGTCAGTTACATGTCTGTATTGCATAAGCCATCTGTGTATGATTCTTCGAGCAAAAGACTGACAGTGTAAACTGACAGGACAGCATTAGTTGGTATATCGTTTCTCATGATTTTGCCAATGTTTCATGATGATAAAGACAAAGTAGCCAAGGTACTAGGCTCATCCACAAAGTAAGTTTCCCTGGGGCCGTTTACAGAAACAAAACACAATTTCATGGAAATATTTATTGCAACAGATACAGCAAGTGTTCAGCTATTTTTCAACATAATCGCCACCGGAATTGAGAAATTTGCCTGTCATTCTCAAAATGCTGACGCTCACCGGACAGGAATTTCTTGAGGTGTAGGAAAAGATGGAAATCACTGGGAGTGAGGTCCGGGCTGTAGGGTGGATGATTATACAGCTCCCAGCTGAACTCCTGCAGGAGACTTGATGTCCATCGAGCTGTGTGCGGCCTAGCATTATTGTGCAGGAAGACAATACCAGCACTAAGCATCCCGCTCCGCTTGTTCTGAATGGCCCGTCGCAATTTCTGCAGTGTTTCACAGTAATGGTCAGCATTCACCGTCTCACTTCTGGTCAGGAAGTCGATGTGGAGAATGCCCCGTCTGTCCCAGAATACCGTGCACATCACTTTCCGCGCCGACGTCTGCTTGAATTTCGTCTTACAGGGAGATCCACTGTGACGCCAATGCTTTGACTGCTGCTTGGTTTCTGGGGTAATGTGTGCAATCCGCGTTTCATCACCTGTGATGGTCCTGTCCAGAAACTTGTCGCCGTCATCATGGTACTGCTGCAGAAATGTCAATGCTGACTCCATGCACTTTGTTGTGTTCTGGTGTCAGTTGCTTTGGCACCCACTTGGCGCAAAATTTCCTGAACAACAGGTGCTCTGTGACAATTTCGTGCAACAAGGGGCGGGAAATCTGCGGGACATGACTGCTGAGTTCTATAATTGTGATGCGACGATTCTCCATAATGTGTTCCCGCACAAGCTCCACCAGGTCGTCTGTAATGATGGATGGCCACCCACTGTGCGTCTCATCATGCACACTTTGTCGACCTGCTGAAAATTGTCTGCACCAGCAACGCACCATCTGCTTGCTCATGACGTTAGGCCCATAGACCTGGCACAGCTGACAATGAATTTTGATCAGCGCTATGCTCTGTGCATTCAAAAACTTTATCACTGATGGCACTTCACAGTCGGCGGGAGTTGGAATAAGAGCCTCCATCTTCAACAGCTGCAATGATGCTACTGTGGGAGCACAGGCAATTCTGTTAGTGCATGCGCCATGCTACGTCATTGCTCTATCATGTACGCGCAGTTGCTTCGCGCATTATAAGGTTTGCTAGCTGTGGGACAAGTGGGAAACTTACTTTGTGGACGTGCTATGTACAGGTGGGTTATGCATGACTCCTAGTTCAAAAGTCACCCAACACTAGACAGGCTGAATTCAAAATTTCAAGAAGTATACAAGCCTGAGAAGGAATTCATTATTAATGAGACACTCTTTGCATTTCAAGGACATCAGTTCTTTCTGTTTAAACGAAGGTGAAGTCATGTAAGTGAGGAATCATGATTTTGCAGGTGTGTGAAACAAACATTGGCTGTTTACATAGCATGTAGCTATATGCTGGTACGTGTACTGACACAGATCACAACTTTACATTCAGTGTTTTTGATAAACTGCTGCAGGAAATAAAGTACATAAGAATAAATGGCATTACAGCCTGAAACTTTTTGCTAGGTGTGGGCGCAGAAGGTAATGCCAAAGGTGTACTCATGAGTAGGCTAGCCATTCTACTGTAGGCAGATGTACTGGGACAGATCATTTGCTGTGCAGAATTCTGGCAGGACAGTTCATTGCGAATCTGCAAAATGTGTGCAAACAGGGAAAGCAACAAAGAATCTTTTGAAGTGCACTGCCAGAAATGTGATTTGGGGCTTGTTTAGGTGAGTGCTTTGAAAATTACCACCCCGAAATAAATCATTAGGAGTAGTATGTCAAGTAAATTTAATTCATTCACTTGACTGTGTTTACAGTGTATTTTATCTTTATTTCTGGACCATTATTCTGCTGTATCAGTGTGTCCTTTGTGCACAGAATTGGAAGATGCTGAACATTATTCTAGGAAGTAGTGAAATGTAAGATGGAGAACCAAATTATGATCATCATCATTATTATTTACTGAAATTCACCCCATGGCAGTAGACCTAACACAGGACAAAACAAAGTAGATACAATGCAAACATATACAATAACTAGGAGTACACTTAAACAAGGTAACTTCACATCACTTTAATTTCCATTCAGTCCCCATTTAAAGCCTCTTTGCTTGTAACTGCTTCCCTGCCACGTTAGTATGCCTGCAGGTAAGTGGTTCCAATCCTTTATGGTCCTATTTACAAAGGAATATTCGCCAGCATCTGTGCTTTGTTTTCTGCTCCTGATTTTCCTACCATGGTCATTCCTACTCAGCATGGTTTTAGCAGGCTATCCCAGGTCGCTTCCCAAGCTGGTCTCCTGGTGTATGCCTTGTAGAAAGCGCACAATCAGGCTATCATCTTACGCTCTGCCAGAGTTTTCCAACCCAATTCATTTGTATGATTTGAAAATGTAGCCACTCTTCTTTATACCTTATTTAAAGCATTTACCTGCCCTTCTCTATATGGTTCCAGACATACTGCACCATATTCAAGTATCGATCTCTCTCGTGATGCATAAGCTAGATGTTTTGAGTTGTTATTTCACCGAGTAGAAGATGCCAAAGTAATGCTGGTCGGAGAACTGAAGAAGAAAATGCGTATGGACCGGAAACTGGCTGCGGAACACTGCCGCCAGAAACCGAAAAATTTGACACAGGAAAATTGTAGACCCCAGAAGAAATTGGCCGTTGCCCGCAGAAGGACGAGCCACCGTGCAACAATGGCACGGCAAGAAGAGAAGCGACATAAGGATGTCCTGTCGCGCAACAGTGGCACGAAGCATGAGAGACATCCTTGGGCCGAACATGACACACCGTGCAAAAGTGGCACGGCAGAAGGAAAACGTCGGGAGAAACTGCACCATGGCCGTGATTGAGCGAGCAACCCAGAAAGCAGGGCTGCTCAAGAAAAATTTAAGGACGCATCATGAAGGAAAAAGAGGAACAAAGGACCGAG